AACTTTAAAAACGTTTTCTATTAACTTCTCGCTTTCTCGGAAATAAAGTCACCTTTTTCGGAAAAAAAATTGGGTGCGGTAATTGTAAATCGGGGTTTTTAATCAGAACAGTCAGTGACTGTTCCTTCACGGGCAAGGGTAAGTGGCACTGTTTTCAAGGTCTATAAGGTTTTTTGAGGTTCTTTTTAAAAATTTTATAAGTTTTTTATTTTTATTTTTTTAATAATCTTGGTCATTGGATTGAGAAAGTGATGAAGACAATAAACTGTGATGAAGATAGTCATTTTACATTAGACAAGTTCAAGAAACCAAACAAGGACGTTTTAGTAAAGCACCTTTTTGATGCATTTCAGATTAGCTTTGCATATAAGGAAGTTTTTCTAACAGCGACAACAAAACTAGAGGAAATGAAAAGTGACATGATTAATGCTCAGAAATCAGTTATTCATTTGCAAGGGGAACTCTTGGACATTAAGACTAAAGATCTAGAATCAGTCCAGAGAACTGTTAAAACCGCTGTAGAAAATACTGTTCAAGCTGAGATTAAGTCTTACAGTGCTGCTGTGTCAAAACATCCCCCCAGCTCTGCATCCACTTTCACAGCAGAGAACTTGAAGAAAGTAGTTCAGAATGTGGTAGCTGAAGAGGATCGCAGCAGAAATGTTTTGATTTTTGGTCTAAAGGAGGAAGCAGGAGAGAAACTTGGGGATTAAATTTGCGATGTGTTTGAACAAATGGCAGAGAAGCCACGCTTTGAAGCTGCTCGAATTGGGAATAAAGCTGCTGAAAAAAATAGAGCTGTCAAAGTATCATTTGGAAGCTCTAGTACCGTTCATCAGGTACTGATTAAAGCTAAAGAACTCAGACTGTCTCAGTGTTTCAAAACTGTCTTTATTTCACCGGATCGGTCGCCGGAGGAGCGTGAAGTACATAGACAGTTGGTTCTAGATTTGAAGAGGAAGGTCACGGAAAATCCTAATAAACGTTATTTTATCAGGACTGGTAAAATTTGTGAGAGAGATGAGTGAGATATAATTGTTTATATTTTCTTATTCAATAAAATAGATATTACATATTTTTTGGCCATTTTATATATGAACTCTTACACTTACTGGTAATTTACATACATGCATTCTGGAGTTTAAATTATCACTTTTGTCACCACGCCAGCCGCTTTGAAGTCGGCAATTTTTTTTTTTTAATTTTAATAATATTGGTTGTTGATATAAGCGGGATATAAATGCTCTATTTCATTTCATTTCATTTCATAGTCCGTTATCTTACTATATATAAAGCGAGACGATATATATATACATATGTGGATATATCCGTGCCATTTTACTGACACCAGGGCATCAACTTTAACGCGACTTTCCGCAAAAACCGTAAAAGATATACAACTGAAACTTTTTTGACTGGGTCAAATGCTTTAATGGCCTTCAAATCAGCATGAAAAAATTAAAAATTGGCCAAGGAATAAGAATTTTAGTGCTCAAAATTTGGACTCCCAAGTGGTGGCAAAAACGCGAATTAAATAGGTAATAATTATTTTATTCTCTCGAGTCTTGACACCACTTTAGGGTAGACGGGTTCCTGCTAGTTATAATACCTTCCGGGAATTATATCCACTAAAAGTCTCGGACACTGAGAGCTGATAATTTGCCGATATATCCCGCAAGGGAAGCGAAAGTATTATCAGCATAGACCTCAGACTGGCTGGCGGCAAGTTGTAAAACAAATAACACTGGCGTTCTATATATTAGACACTATATTGTATCATGCGCACGTATCGGATTACACCCCTTCCTAATCGGAACCGGAAAATATTATAATACATAATACCTCCGGTTCTTCGGGCCGCAAATTCCCTCCAGCAAGCTGTCGGGAATTATCAAGCGGAACCCGAAGAGCCGAAGGCATTATTATATTATAATAGTCGGCAAGTCTCAAGACTTCAAGACAGTGCCCTGATCTGAAGGGGAATGCTGCCCTAAAACATAAAACCTGAGACGAGTCATCGTTGAGAAGACTATATTATATAGTCTTCTCAACGATGATTCTATATAATTAGATGGGATGATAGGTGCACACTGCACCGCCGTGCACGATTATGGCCTGAGCGAGGTTGTAAGACTGGTACAAAAAACACATTACGAAAACGTTAAAAAGAACATAAACAAACCAAAGAACATCTTTTGCACCACATACGAAACGAAACGAAACACCGTATTTACTACCCCGGTCCCCGCTACTATGCGACAAAGATATTGTATAAAATATAACTAAATTTACACAATACTGTCTTCAACCTGGTGATTTGAACGATCATGATCTTTAATTTCTGATGTCAGTTTAATCCCCAGGCTAGACAGGTAATAGTCTAACGAGAAACGATCAGTAAAGGCGCCTGGAACAGGAACCACGTACAAGTACATTATAATAATGGCCATTAAATTTAAGTACAATCAAGCTAGCTCAAATTGACCCCTATTATTTAATAATGGTGAAAGTATCTGTATAGCCTAAATTGTAAGTGGCAGTGTTCAAGTTCTAAACGCTTTGATATTTTAAAATAAATCAAGAGGCTTGCATATAATGAACATATTGACACGGGTGCAGAGTTGAGTCTGTACGGAACCTAGTAGTTTCAGATCCTTGTTTAACTTGCCGTACACTGTACAGCAAGGTCATCCACTACTTTAGCCCGGCGAGGCACATAACTCCCTCTACAACTCCATGACAAATGTTTCATATATACTAGCCGAGTTCACAAGTTATATCCTTGTGTTTGAGAAGAGCTCGTTAGAACTGCTTCCTTTCCCTTCAGTATCCCTACAGTATTGCCTGTACATTATGACCGTTGAGGTATAATGATTTAGACGTGCCAGGTTATGTTATTGACTTAAGGGAGTTGACATTTAAAGTGAGTTCCGGAGTTCACTTATATAGTTCAATCAGACTTACACAAAATTACCGCCACTTTTTACTCACCGGGGGGGGGGGGGGGGGGGGGGAGATCAGGTACTAAGTGCCGTACGTGACGTCGACTAAGTGCAGTTTTGGACTTAACAAAAAGGACCCACCCACCCCCTTCACGGTACTAACTGCTTTTTCGGATAATATTCAGGACACCCACCCCTTTTGCCGGCTTTTGCAGTACTAACTGTTGAGAAATCAGAAATCACGGTACTAACCGAGTCTGGGTATATAAAATAAGATACCCACCCACAAATTGCTTTGAACAGGTCATTAAACATTGGAAATGGGCAATATATACCCACTATTTAGTATAGGGGTTTTGTTTTTAATGTAGTCGAATTAGATAAAAAGTTACAAAAAAAATTTTAAAATTACAAAAGACCCAAAAAAGCAAAAAAAACCATAAAACCCATTCCCAAAATTGTAATTTGAGGTAACATGGTTTTTTTTTGGGTTGGACACCCAAAAATGAACCCCTTAGTACCATATACTAACTGTTTTTCTGGGAAATGAGCAGCAGACCCACCACTTAGTACAAGAATACTAACTGCGTTTTGGAAGAAAATATGACCCACCCACCCAACGTCACGTACGATTCTGACCATATGATTCCCCCCCCCCCCCCCCCCCCCCCGACTCATCACCCATAATGTTTTCCGCTGACAATTAAATTTATTCCTCTATTTGTGGTCGAATGAGCATTATTTGGGGAAAAAACAGTGTATTATGTCCATTTTCTACCTGTAAAATACAGTCTCACGAGCTCTTCTGCGCGCGCAAGGGACTTTATGACGTCATCGCCAAAATAATACAAACGCTATTTACACGCGTTAGAGAGCAGTTAGAGATTTAGGAATTTCGACTCGTTGCTCAGTTTGCTATTTGTCACAATCTATAAAAATATGAGAAAAACTTTTTTTTGAGTTAACTGGTTCTTTAACATAACTATCGTCCTCTAATTAGCAAGTACTACTGCTATATTTCAGCTGAAAAGAGTATGGTATCGGAAATATTCATTTTTTGATTTTTCGATTTTGACCGAGAATGATGCCCATTAAATGCAAATTTGCAGCTATCTGAAGTTAACATAACGAAATCTGTGATTTTACAAAATTGCGAGAATAGGAGTAGTGGTGGCAATGGAAGTTGTTAATTTATAACAAATTAGCACTTAAGAAAACGATAAACCTCCCTCTATGTCTCTATACTAATATAACCCCTTAAATTAAAATACCTTCACACCCTGGTTAGAAAGGCTCCACCTTCATTGCAATCACTGCAGTGTCTTTATTGACTGCAAGCATATAATTGCAATTGGCTATTCAAGTCATTCACATAATATTACATAATTCATATTTCGTCCATTATAGCTTAATCATTTCAACCCTATCCCCTTAAGGCTTAAGCGTATTATGTGAACGATCCCTTTGTCCAGTGTAAATGATATTTAGATTATTTATGCATTCAATTGTTGCATTTTGAGTGCTGCCATACTCAAGAATGGTGAATGGAAAAAATCTAGCATTGGCAAACTATTTTGGCTTTAAACCACTTTACGAACAACGTTTTGAAAAATAAAACTGGAAACCACAATTCAGAAATTTCACTTAATTAGGACCCGACAAATTCAAGACAAGAATCGTTCAGATATTACGTCAGCAGTCTAAAAGAAGAGGGTTTATACACGTAACTGGAGGGGAAGAGGGTTCAGGCAATGCTGAAGTTGTCCAAAAATTTAATTTTGGCAAAGGCTTTCGGGATTTGAAATGGCAGGACTGGTGTTTCATATCTTTTTTATGTTAGGTGGTGAAATCTCAAAATGGCTGCAGCTTCAGATTCTGTGTAATTGCTAAGGACTATAAAGGTTGCAGTAGGTCAACAAATAGCAATGTTAGAGGCTGGACAAATCCTGACTTCTCTTTAGAAATAAAATAAAAGGTTGCAATATGGTTCACAAAATTACTACCCTGCTGGTGTGTCGCTGATGTACAGAATCACAGGAATGCCGTATGAAAAGTCACAACAATAAATGATAATTTAGACTGTTTTCGAGTCAGTTTATGTCCATCCATATTCTTGGAAAGAAAATATTTTCTTGGAATGATGGAGTTCCGGAAAATGCAGCTATGTCCATCTATATGTCCAAGGGGAAAAGGACCAGACATGAGACATCTTTTCATACAGACTTACAGTGAAATCTAGCAAAAGGAACAAACAATATTTCAATTTGATCTCGCCGGATCGTTATTTAGTGGGTTAACCCGAAAAAATCCAGATATATTTTCGGAAGAACTGATGATCTGTAGATCAATAAGTTAATATCATGATTGCAGCAAGTTTAGGGATTCCATAGAAATGAAGTAGAGTAAAACTGCTACATGCCAGGCCTCTTAGGGGAAATTAGATAACAATATCATGATTCCATATCCTTGGAAAGAAAAAAATTTTCTTGGAATGAAGGAGTTCCGAAAAATTTAATCTAGCAAATAGAAGTTATCATTGCAGCTATGGTAAGTTATAGAACTCCTGACCAAACGAGTGCCGAAGGCACGAGTTTTGTCAGGAGTTCTATAAATTGCTTATGGTACGGCACAAGACTACAGTCTTGGGAACATTTTCCGACAAAAATTTTGAAATTTGGTGCATTTTAACAGTGTCAAATTGGCAAAAAAACTGTATCTACTTCCGACACAAAGTGTTCATTGTCCAATGAGCATCTTGCCATGCTGCTACCATCGTGTTACTCTCGTGGTTGCCACATGACAGCTTACCTAACTGCTATTGGACAGCGCACTTTTGTCACGTGAGTTACATTTATTGAGTACAGTACGGAATAAATGTAAGTGGTAAGTATCGATGTCAAAGAAGACGCTTGCATTCTAAAAGGAGTAAGATATTATGTTACAAAGAATGAAATAGTTTGGCATGCAAATTGATATTTTAATACCTTACAGTGAAATGAACTTCTGCTCTCGCGGGCTAAAGACAGCTCTGTTCCTACATTTTTATCATTGTCTTCAATTTTATTTGGCACCTTTCCAACAGACATATTGTTGCTGTCAAATCTCATACTTATTTCGACGTTAGGCTGGATTCTGGTTAGGCAAAGTAATCAGAGTGTTTGTATCTATCGAAACCGTTTCCGTCCATCTTGATTGTACTTGTTCTACTTCAAAGTCGTCAAAGTCTGTAACTAGTTGGGAAACGTCGGATGTTTTTAGCCAAATAAGTGCTTCGGCGAGTTCTTTATCCAATCTAGATTTCTTTGCTTTTTTTGGGGACACGCACTTATCCACCTTTCTCTTAGTATTCATGCGTGATGTTTTTAGTGTCTCTATGATATGTGTAGAATGAGCAGTCGTTGTTGAACTTGGACATGGGAGCACTTCAGACGCTTTACTTGTTGTGGCTACCTCATCAGTCACGTCTGATGTTTTAAGTGTCTCACTTGGAGCTGACAGAATCTCGGAAACTGTAGTAAGAGCATCCACACTATCTCTACGATAAGTTGATAATGTTGCTACGCTCCTGTGTCTGGTCCTCTTAATTATGTCAGTTTCCGTTACACCTGCATCAAACAGTGTGTTGATGGTACTTGTTCTTAAGGAATGATTAGTCGCCATAATATCTTCAGTTATTCGTTTCACTGTTTTGTTTAATGTATTGATACCTATTGGAGTATTTGTGTACCACACATCATCATGAATTGGATTCTCTAGCTTCTTGGGAGTGAAAAACAGTGCTTTATTCAAATCTGCTTTATCAGGTAGCTTTGATAAATAAAACTTGGATAAATTCGTGAATGAATTCTCATTACTTGGGTTTTCGTAATGTTGTACAGGACGTGGGTCATTCTTCTTGTGAAGACCTCCTTGATTAGCTTTTGACTTATTTTCTGTATATGTGACCTTGTTCATTATTGGTCCACCTTCTTTCAATACACAATCTTCGAAATGAAAATTGTAATATCTGGCGTTTCGCAACTCTTCTTTGCCGCAAAGAGCGAACAACCAGCCACAAAGCCACAGTAGACCGTCTACTAGCGATATTGGCGTAGCAGGTCCTAGCTGTCCACTCAGCCAAAGTACCCTATGTACACCAGGGTCTACAGCAGGTGCCTTCTTCTTTTTGTGAGGTGGAGCCTCCTTCTCCAGATGTTTGATATAGCCGTCCACTTTCTGGCGGCAAGTGAGAAACTCTGGAGCAAGGCTTAGGTTCATGGTAGCATCCTGCTCCACTAAGTACCTGTTTATTCCATGAAAAATGATTATTAAGCTTTCAGGTGCATAGTGGTGTCCGTCCTTTCTTCTTATCTCAACTATGAAATTTGCCACCATAATGTTCATCATTGAAGGAACACCGCAGTCCAGCGGGGCATACCTATGCCCCAAACGGGCGTGTTCCTCACTCCATGTGTTGTACAAATTGACCGCGAATTGAGTCGATTTTCGTGTGTTTTCCGGTATTCGGCCTTTCCTGAGAGCTTCAAGTTCATCTTTTTCTATCAAAACAATACGAGACGTCATTATGTAAACAAAACAGTGCGATTTAATTTCAAATTGTTGGTCACCATTTCCTGTTACAATTTATGAAAGTAGTTCCTTCCGATCTACTCCACTAATTTAAAACGTTTGAGATGATAATTCATTTTTCAAGTGGCCGCACTTTTGTCACGTGAGTTACATTTATTGAGTACAGTACGGAATAAATGTAAGTGGTAAGTATCGATGTCAAAGAAGACGCTTGCGTTTGAAATGATATTTCATATTTCAAGCAAATTGTGAGCTGTGAATCTAATTGAAATCCAGCCCTTCTCGCTGGCTAATATTGGTCACGATATCTATCAGCTGATTATACCTCGTGACTGCGTCACTTGGTGACCACGTGCCCGACTGGCTGGCGCCGTACCATTTAAGTCCATTTATATGTCGAAGGGGAAAAGGACCAGACATGAGACATCTTTTCATACAGACTTACAGTGAAATCTAGCAAAAGGAACGAACAATATTTGATCTCGCCGGATCTTTAATTAGTGGGTTCACCCGAAAAATCCAGACATATTTTCGGAAGAATTGATGATCTGTAGATCAATTAGTTAATATCATGATTGCAGCAAGTTAAGGGGTTCCAAAGAAATGAAGCACAGTGAAACATTAGTGTTGTTGTTGTTGTAGGGTTGAACAGAAAGTACACGGTATTTTTAAAAAGTTGGTTCGGTGAACGGACCGAATCACTACATGACTGAATCCCTAACGGACTGAATCACTACCAATCATTATTGGTAGGGATTGAGGTATATTTTAGGACTGAATCACTACCGGACTGAATCACTACCAGTAGTGATATTTGGGTGGTAGTGATTCCGTCCGGTAGGGATTCAGTCCTAAAACTGCTACATGCCAGGCCTCTTAGGGGAAATTAAATAACAATATCATGATTCCATATCCTTGGAAAGAAAACATTTTTTTGGAATGAAAGAGTTCCGAAAAATGTAATCTAGCGAATAGAAATTATTATTGCAGCTAGGTCAACTTATAGGTCCAAGGGGAGGCCCTGAGGTTACGAGTGCTAATCCCAGCTGGGTCAAGATCTCAACACTGAAGAGCATCCGTCACTCACCAAACCATAGTGTGAATGGTAGCGGCTCTCATTAGAGCTGCGAAAATAACACGAGTGCATATGCCTGGGGAGTGGGGTTGCGTCCAGACTATGCTGCAGGGAAATCTGTACCGAAAGGACCGTGGCAGAATGCCACACGAAAAGGAAATCGGCCCCTTGTTCCTAGCTTGCTTTTAAAAAATTGTTTTTGCCCAAAAAGGAAGAAAGGTTGATAAAAAATGAACGGAATCTTACAGACGTAATATTTTAACGAACCATGTTATATGTAATGTTTACATCCGAAAAGGAATTCCATTTTTGAATTCCAGGCCCAAATCTATAACACACAAGGAATAACAACTTCAAGAATAGCTAACTCCAGTGTAGTGACGTGTTATCATTTATCAACGTCCTTATAATCCTCTTTAACTTTAGTCCGTAAACTTACTTTCGACTTTTGGAGTTGTTTGTGAATGTGAACCATCAGCTAGTACTCCTCAATCTTTTGTTCTTTTAATGTGCGCTACTTCTAATTCTGTTTCTTTGTCTAATTCTGTCTCATTGTCTGCACAGTTGTTTAGTGTAAGATTCCATGTCGAGTCTAAAGTTCTCGAATGGTAATTTATTATTTAGAGTTTAGCAGTACAGTTTCATCTCAATGATTCTGATTAAATCGTGTGGTGATAACCAATCAAATTTTCAAATTTTTATTAATGTTCCAAATTTTTCATTTGTGGAATGTTGATGTATGTGGGTGTAAGTGTCTATATTGTTTGGTTGGAATGTTGATTTAATAGTCGGTTGAAAATACGATTAGGGAAAAACACAATCGGTCAGTACTATATGATATTTACTTAAAAAGTAAACCATCTCTTATTACAAAGTTTGAGGAGAATCCGACCATAGCTTGAAATGAAATGACCAAGTATGGTATTTTCTAATCGTATTTTAACCGACTTTTCACAAAAAAAAGACACACATTCACACACGTAACTCAATTTCTCAATAAGCGAATTTCATTAGTAAACATGGCCCTTTAATTTTCAGAGACATCCACAGATGTTGGAGATAAGACTTACGATGACGATTTCGAGAGAAACACGTCTGCAACCGAGGAAGTATCCGGGATATCTGACATTGACGATCTTCTTCACACTTCCGAGATTGGTACCGAAAAGGTGAGCTGCTGTTCTGCAGAATCCAGATAAATTGTTTATCGTGATTTTTATCTTCGATTTCTCATTCAATTCTCCGAAATTGCACAGATCAAAAGTCGAACTAATACGATCACATTCCATGACGCTCCGCATTCTTTTCAGGGAGCCGAGGAGTCGATGTTTACCTCAGATCACACCATATCTGTGGATAGTGTCGGAGATATCGACTACGTTGAGGACATCACATTTTAACCAGACTTCATCAGAGCTTCAGACAGTCGTGGTCATGATTATACTATCTCATGATCCAATACCAATAATCAGATTCAGAATTACATACCTACTATAAAATTTTCGGAGCACTCATAAAAACTCTAAGAGAAACAATATTTAGTTTTTTGTTTAGCTGTCACATATATTCATGAGATTGGAGCACATTTTTGTGGTTTCTTGAATTTTAGATCGTTCCTGATCACACTCGAATCAATTAGGGGGGGGGGGGGCAACGCCCCAAAAGGCCCCACACATATCGAAAATCCGAAAAGGGCCCTAGAAATCGGGGCCTTTTGGGGCCTTTTGACCCTGACCACTATTTGATAGTGTTTATGGACCATAATCTCCATGTAAATACACTCAAATAAACATAAAAGTACTGTGCAAGTAGTCAGATAATATCATTAAAGCACTTAGCATATTTCAAACTTGATGAAATTGAAGTTAATTCTAGGGCCCCAAAAGGCCCTACACATATCGAAAACCAAGAAGGGCCCTAGAAATTGGGGCTTTTTGGGGCCTTTTGACCCTGACCACTATTTGATAGTGTTTATGGACCATAATCTCCATGTAAATACACTCAAATAAACATAAAAGTACTGTGCAAGTAGTCAGATAATATCATTAAAGCACTTAGCATATATCAAACTTGATGAAATTGAAGTTAATTCTAGGGCCCCAAAAGGCCCTACACATATCGAAAATCCAAAAAGGGCCCTAGAAATCGGGGCCTTTTGGGGCGTTGGCCCCCAATTACTACCATTAGCATTTACAAAATAGCAATAAGCAGAGCGTCAGTAACAATATCTAAAATACCTATTACTCTATTAGGACAGATTTGTGGAGGACGAAACACTTGTCCCCGGTATATTAATACTCCTATACTGATTGAAATTTAACCTCTATCTCTCCCTATTTCACCCCGGGTCCTACGTTGTTTAAATCAGTACTCTCACAGTTTTATATTTCACAATTTCACCTCAGATAATGTTAGACTCGACTTTAGTTTACCTTGTAATGCTATTTTGCTTGTTTAAAAAAAGGTGGAAATGTTCTGTTGCACAAAACATCCCTAAGTGGTTAATTGTTATTTCAAGTTGAATTAGACTTCATAGTGAAAATGCATCTATTTTAATTTATTCTATCACAATTGTTCAATTGTAAAATATATTTTAACAAAGTTTATGTTTGAGAATTTAAGTGGTTGAATTTGTTGCATGTTTTTTTGGAAGAAAGGAATAAAACCCCGAGGAGCTTTTATAAATCAATCACAGCAAAATTAATTATATTCCATTAATTACGCTCGTACGATAGCCGTACACAATATTCTCTTCTATCTGAATTGTCTGTACTACTCCTACTTTCACAATTTTTCCAAATGACATTATGAGTAGGTACGATAATATCACCGTCATTAAATCACGAAAAAAGCGTGACTACACAACGGAACAACCACGACTCAAACTTTACTGCCACCATAGTGCCATCCAGCTGGTCCCCCTCTACCATAAGGGCCGCGGAATTTTGATTAGATCTCTGACTGGAACGGCGGTTCGTCTGGTGTCCCCCAGTTCCCTCTCCCCATGCTCCTGTATTAATTACAGATAGGGGGCAAGTAGAGGTAAATATACCGGCCGATAACAGTATTGGTTCTTGGGAAGTGCCACCCCTGATCAGACCCTGAAGTGTGAACCATCATCGCATATTTTTGGTAGCTTATCAGAATATGGCGGGAAAGGACCACCGTGCAGTCTCCTTCCTTCCTTGTTCACCTATAGTTTCAGTAAATACAATTCGGGCGAACTTTGCCGATAACAAGTTGGTTCTGGTGGTAATGGCACGTCGTGACTCTGTTTTTAGGTTCACCGCCACTTTTAGGAAATTATCAGTCCCCTTTCGGGGTTCCAACTGACACAATTCCTCAAAACAGGAGGCAGTTAATCGACTTTTGAATTAGTGTTGGGTAGAGGCCTAAATAGATTGTGAAGATAGGATCCGAAAAAAATGCCCATAATTCATGTGATTTTCATTTGGAGTCAACGTAACCTTTTTTTCTGGTCGAAGGAAATAAGCTTTCCAAGACAGTATGGATAATCTCTGTGAAAGATATTCGAAACAGAAATGAAACGGGATCTAAAATAACGAACCACATCTTTGAATACATAGTGATAGAGAAAAACGTAAAAGTCGATCCGAAATACCCATTTCGTGTTGAACCCTAGTTTTTGCAAATTTTGTTGGCCTAAATTGTCCTTCTAGTTCTGAAATTTTTATCGTCCATATTAAATTCAGAAACTTACCGAAGAAGTTTCTTTAACTTTATATCTTAATTTAGAAACCCGTCCGAGTAGGGAGTGGAAGTTATTCTTCATTTTGCACTTTTCAGGAACGATTTATTGACGTGGACTGTCACTACATTTCTGTTTTGGTTTTCCATAATACAACTGATATCGCTCAGAATAGCTGGTGGCATGACGTCCAATGTGTATTCCAGGGGAATTCAATGCGTGTCTTTTGTTGGTCTGTCTGAATATCGTCAGACTTTAACCCGTAATTATATGAACTCCGAGTTCCAAGTTGCATTGACAATGTTGTGAGTTATTCAGTTATCGCATCCACAATCACAATAAAATCTTATTTCTAAAATTGTATTTATGGCACAAACTTCATTAGAATTTTATTATCGAATCTCGTGTTGAGTACAAGACACAACAACATGTTATGAAAAGTAGCTCATAGAGTCATACTACATTTATTGCTACAGTCGCGTATCTCTCCTAATCACAGAGATACTGTCGTGTATCCCTCCTAATCACGGAGATATTGTCACTTATAATAGACATACGTAGCCCTCTTAGTCTTACTCAGCTACCACTCTGTCTGACTGACTCAAGTAATACAATAATGGTGTAATCATTAATGGTATATCCTGTCAGTGTCTCTTTATTGTCTATTGTTAAGAACAACACGGGTCAAGGGCCGGTATTAGACGGCACTCCCATATCCGGCACTCCCATATCCGGCACTCCCATATCCGGCACTCCCATAGAATCATATATAATTATATCGCGAATGATGGATTACAGGTTATAGTACCGTGTACTTGTAGTCTGTAGATTAGCTTATCAGGCTATAATGTTCGTAAACATAATATGACGAATAAAGATTTGGCGGAATAACAGGCTGAGCGCCGCCCAGTAATAGATTATCATGCTGATACTGATGGATTAAAATAGGCTGGAGATCAGACCGCTTAGTGCTAGCAGTACGTAACATTAACAACTCATAACGGCTCTGTAGTCTGTCGTTAACAGTAACACAACTGTTTCGTTTACTGGCGGCGCTCAGCCTGACAGTCCGCCAAATCTTTATTCGTCATATTATGTTTATAAACATAATAGCCTGGGCCTGGGGTCCCCAGGTAACTGTTTCGTGTGATTTACTGTCCACCTATGGCTGTATAACTATAGGAATATTTGCCTGGGAGCGCTAGTCAAGAGACAATTTCAGCCTCTGATCTGTGAGTGTGTTGTCCGAGTTTGAATTTTGACGCAAATCTTGCTTAAACTTTTGGTAGTTGGGTGGTCCCTGTGCGTGTGCTTTGATCAGTTAGTCTATTATAAAAATAGATTTAAATAGCTATGAATAGGTATGACTATCCAGTCTCCAACATGCCAAGCTAATTTGATAGAGAGGGAGAATGACTTCGACTTATATAATATCGTAACAGTGTTAATGGGAGAGCTTATACTTGGCGAGAATGGTTATCTAATCAGAGCACACGCACAACTTAACTACACAAATTTTCAGAGCGATCAATGTTTTCTTCAGAATCCGAACTCTTACAGTTCAGAAGCTGAGGTCGACTGGCGCTCCCAAACAAATTTCACTACATGTGATAGATTAGCAAGCTGAATAATAGGTTTTGTGCCAGTTTAGAACCAGTGGTTCAACCACTGCTAGTAGTAGTGGCAGTACTACTACTAGTAGTTAGCACGACGCAACTCTTACAACATACAAGTACAACAGCTTTTGGGAAAGTTTCATGCCACCTCCAGCTCCCGGTGCGCCGTAGTCTCTAGTCAACTCCATTTTGATTGACAATATCAATCCTTTCCAGCTCTTAGCTTTACTCGCAGTGCAGCTTTGAGATCTGTTAGCGAGTTAGTAGAAGCTACAAACTCCATTACTGGGCGGAGCTTAGTCTGTCATGTTTATAAACATAAATATGAACATAATAGCCTTGCCCCTGGAGTCCCCAGGCTACAAACTCCACCGTGCAGTATTAACAATAACTCTAGCTGAACTGAGGAAGGAAAAGTTCACGAACATCGCATGGTGATACTGATATTTGTCATGTTATCATTACATATTTATTCACTGTTAAATACTGTTTAGCAGTAACTAGTAAGGCCCGGAAATTGCCCATCCAATGCTGAAATTGAAAAATAAAGAAATGGGTCTTCACTAGGAGACTTAGAGTAAGAGCTTGGAGCTGTGCCTGTTTTTTGGTGAATCGTGCGTATAGCAATCATCAATAATAATATATATTTTACCGAAACTAAATTGAAACCAATCTTCTTCCTGTCAAATTAGCTTGCTACTGAGTGATGTAGATAACAAGTTAACTTATCAAAATCAGAGCGATGGCCGCCGTCTGACGATAAAATTAGGTTAACTGGTAACTACTATCTCAATATCTAAACTCTTCTTTATTTTAGGTCACTCACAATATTGCGAGTACCAACTGGTAATCGGCTAATGAAAATTAACAGTGACTTTAACTGGCACATTTCAGTTGAATTACAAACTATGCAATTACAGAATGAAGTTATTAATTAAGCCCAGCTAGAAAATGTAATTGAAGTTGAACACTTTAGGTTTAAACACGAATTAGACTGTCCAATTGTATTGTCCGTATCAGCCTTTCCTTGAATTTTAATTTGTCTTGGAGTTCAAAAACTAATCTAAAAGTAAATTTTAAGTAATCAAATTTTGATCCAAAAATTGAAAATGCTTAAATTTTGAGAATGGGTTAGATCACATATGACTCATTTTTGTGATCTTCCATGTCCATTTTCCAAACATTTCGCTGGATATCTTGCTTCCAGTAGTAATAGGCTAGGTTCACGATCAAATTAAACTTGCTCGAATTTTCAAAATTTGTGTACCATTGTTTAATGATAATGTAAGCTTTTTCACGTGTCACGATACCAAATTTGTCATACATTTTTGGAATGATTATTGTGTTTCGCCTTAGTTTTTTCGGAGCTACAATAACAATAAGTGTTAAAGTCGCGTAATTTGACGAATTTCATTGATTTTCGTCGTATTATTCCGTCGTATCTTCGGTTCCTGGAATGGGATCATTCTGAACACTTGACATACGTTGCATGCCACTTTTCGCGCGCGAATATATCTCTGATATTTGGATACGAAACATGTATCAACTGAACACTAAAAATTATTTTCGTATGTCGTAAGGACCTTCTAATTGCTAATTGGACTTTAGAAACTTTTGGAAAAACTTCATGGATATAATTATATTGGAGTTGATATACTATTATTATTGGTAACGTTCCCTCAATCCAATCTTCATAAAAATTGGTTAGCTTACTTATACTTATAGTTATAGTTATACTTATACTTATAGACTTACATGGAAACTTTTGGGAAAATTTTGAGCATATCGAACCATTAACGGGTACTGATACTCGTAAAATATTTGTTTCAAATTATGAATTATAGGACCGTCGATGAGTCCAACTCGGCGAGTCGGCGCACGTCCTGGTAGTGGTACGTTATAAACCTACAAATCGAACCATCAAACATTATTTTACAGCTCGAAGCGACACCTTTTACTTCATTTTCGTCACTATAGGCAATACCAAATATGCATTTTTTCAAGAATTTTGTGCTGGCCGAAATTAGCGTTAAAAAACCATCCTAGCCTCAGTCGGTATGTCGATGCAGTAGTGCGGTACGCGTTGACATACTAGGTAGTGCGCCATCGACAGTGAGCCGCGCGTGCCGACTGTAGGATGGTTTTTTAGCGCTAATTTCGGCCAGCACAATTTTCTTCAAATAAATAGATATTAAGTATCCTTCCCGACCTCCGATTGCAACAAAAATTGGTAAGCTTACTCATAGACTTACAAGGAAAGTGTCCGAAAAGTTTAAAGCATATCCAACCAT